CATATAGACAGAAGAAAACCAAATGTACATAACCTCATCAACTCGCATATTCACCTGCACAAACAGAAACACACCTGCTGCTGGTGGTTAAGACTATCTCTCACTATCCATGATAGTGAGCTTAGAAGTTTATTATGTGGTACTAAACAAATAATAAATAAAATAGAATATGAAACTACAATATCTGACATCAGTCTGAAATAGTACATTCTCTTCTTAAAATATAGTAAATTTAATACATACTTTTGCATAAAAGTTTTGCCACTTCCTCCTATAAGTTAGAAAAACATTTTTAGGTTTGTAACTCTTTTTCATATGGCCCGTCATGGCCAGATGGTTAGGGCGCTCGACTCGTAATCTGAGGGTCGCGGGTTCGAATCTCTGTCACACCAAACATGCCAACCTCTGCCTTTGCCTGGTTCCAAGTCCAGGATGAGAAAGGAGGAGGGTTGGGAGCGGGGCTAGCAACTCCACCCCGTAAAAACCCACCTGCTACAAGTAACTGCAACAACAACTTTCCGTTGGTGAGGTGTTGTTACGGCCCTATGCTCCACTGGGAGTTTACAGGAATAATAAAAAAAAAACCTTTTTCATATTTCAAAAAATAACTAACATAAACAACAAAAGTTTGAATATTTTTTAAATGTTAACTATTTAACATAAATTAATACATGTGTTACATATACTACCATTTCTTCTTAGTGTCCCTGTTATTTGATTTTGTGTTTGAGTATAAGTATAATAAGGTATAGTTTATTTGATAAATGTTATCCTCTTCTTACCATCTACTGGCACTAAATCTTTAACATCCTCTTAAACCAAGATGATTACTATGGTGACAACGCTGACAGATGTGGTGACATTAACTGTATCTGTAATCAGAGTTATCTGTAGTTTCTTAAGTTAGTAGACAACAATGAAGGAGGTGAATTTTCTTACCTGTTTATAATGTACTCCTATTCACTTCTTGGAACCCCCTCCCCAGTGGCTGCTTGTTGCCTCACAGGGTATACTAACTTCCCTAAACCTGCATTGAGTCAGGGGTGTAGTAAAAGGGTTAAAATCAATCTGCCCTGGTTCCTGTTGAGATATGATTTTCCACAAGCTACTATGGTGGTATATATATTTCACTATGGTGACAACACTGACCTGACAGATGTGGTGACAATAACTTGATCTGTAATCAGAGTTATCTGCAGTTTCTTAAGTTAGTAGACAAGACTAAAGGAGGTGACCACCATTTAAAATTAGAATGAGATTTTAATTATAAGTTAAAATCATGCATGTTTTATTGAACCTAGCTCCCAAAGCCATTTGTTGCTCTCCAGTGGCTCATTAGTAAATGTTATGGCTTATAACACTAAGAATATGGTGGACAGAACACAGACAGGCCATCAAGTAGCTTTGTGCTTAATAAAAGACAAGCTACTTATCCATGAAACAAATTTCTCCTATCATAAATTTATTTCAGTTGCAAACAGTGATACATTAATATTAATTTCATTTACCACTTTATGTAAATAACATGATTATATTATCTGTTGATTGGTTTCTGTTATCTTTCTTTTGCATCACCATATTTTATGTTGTATATATAATGTTTCAGGTAAAAGGTACCTAAAGTTTTCTTCTATGATAGTATCATTGCAAACATTTTTCCAAATGGCAAGATTTGCAAAGCTTTTGACGAGTTTGTTTTCCCATTTAACACCCATACAATTTTTTTTTCTGAGTGATTGATTGTAATATGTAAAATTATATCATGCATTTTACTTAATTTTGATAGGCTGAGAATGATTATTATGAAGAAGGAAAAAAGCTATATGTGAAATGCGATGACAATGAAGAAAAAGTAACCATTGAATGCAAAAATGGACAATGGGAACCAGATTTACATTGTTTGGGTTTGTAATAGTGAAATACTTAATATGTTTATTTGGTTGTATAATTTTTAAATTCTCTTATAAGATTTGTATATATACAAGAATACAGTGCTGCAAAGAGCTTTTTTTTCTACTTCATGAAATTTCCTGAAAGAACTTTTCTTTGAAAGGTTATGTGAATTGAACTTTTAAATGAGTTATTTTTCAGTGAAATATTTTTATGAAGTTTACAGAATAGGTGTCAATGCAACTGATATTTCATTGTGAAGAATTTTCTAAATTCCTCTCAGAGACTGGCAGTAAGTTTGAAGGTTTAAAGTGCTGAAAATTGGGTTTTGATAATTGCAGTTGTGACAGTGCAGATACTCCTTAGTGTATATTTGTGTTCAGCAATAGATCTCTTTTTCAACATCTCAATATTCTTAAAGAATGTTCTTCACTTAACAAGACATCGGGTAATGGTAATTTAGTTTTAGCTGGCTAACATAAAGGGATATACTATTCAGTTGACACAATTATTGGTTCTGTTAATATGTTATTAAGTTTTTGTGTTTCAGTAACAAAGAAATACAATGATTCCTTATTTATTGAAAACTATATATATCTATGTGAGAATATAACTTAATCAGCACCAAGTATATCGTTATTAAAATGTTACAAAGGATGCCTCTTGAAGGTAACAGTTACACATTTACAAAAGGGGAAGTCATGGTTCACCAATATATTTTTGTCAGGTATGATTTTTTTGTTTGAATGATTTAATAGTCAGGATATGACTGTTTCTACCAGTAAAATAACGTATCGTATGCAATATATTACTTAATATCAAATAAGGTGAAACTTACTGATTATACAGAATACATTTTGATCAGTAATAAAAAATTTAAACTCTAAAATAGAACGAAGTATTTTCCATGTTTTTTCTGAAACATTATCTCATAACAAAGTTCTTTAAGTGATAGAAGTACTAAGTCAAATGCTATTTATTTTGTTTGACCAAAAATCTACATACCATTTAGGAACCAATGAAAAACTCAGAAAGTTCTAGCAACATGACACAATAATCTCACTATTGTAAACAATTGCTTCAATAAGCCCTATTCAAGAAAAATATTTACATTATTTTATTTTTTATTATATATTAGGAACATTTTCATTAATAACCACCCAAAAAACATACATCACATATAATAATTAAACATACCACCTAAATATCACATTAGTGTAGTCTATATAATGTGTAAAGTTTAGTATACTCTAATCCATTTTAGTGATGGCACACGATAAGACACACATTCAGAATGTAATGCTGTTTGAATACAAGAAGGGAAACAATGCCTCTGTAGCCACAAAGAATATCAAAGAAGTTTATTGAAATGTTTGGAACATTCGTAAGTGTCAATGAAGGGTCAGCAAATTTTGTTCAGGTGACTTTAGCCTTAAAAACTTCTTCTGTAGATTCGCACTGTCAGGTTTTCGTAAGGCTGGATAATTTACATTAGGTGTTTGTGACTTGTTGCCGATAAATTTAAACTATAAACAAACAGTAGCATAGTCCGCCTGTTTTAAAATAATATATTAAAACAAGTCAAAAATATATACAAATGCTTGTTACACTGTTGATTATTGCAGTTGTATCCAGAGCTATAAATAATTGTTTGTTTTTTTTGTCAAAGTCCATACAGACTGGTTCAGTTACTTTAGAACGCAATTGACAATTATTCTTCTCTACTCTGTTATTAAAATACAGCCTGTAATAATTTCACCTTAAAAATCACCACTATACATCCTTTATGACTCAACTCAAGATACACAGTCTATAATTAGGACTAAATAATGATTTTGTGATGCATATTTATACTACAAAAGAAGTCTAAAACATTCCATGCAATACCAAATATTTGGATACAATAATACTAAGTTAAACCAACCTTCCCTATAGTCTTACACTGCTAAATTAGGAATGGCACAGATAGCCCTTGTGTAGCTTTGCACGAAATTCAAAACAAACAAACAAACCACACTCACTGAACAATAAAGTTACTTAAACTTATCCAATTTGATGATGATTTTATTTTAATTTAGTGAATATGATAAAAAAGCTCATGTTTACAAACATTGCAACTCAATAAAACCATAATATATCTATTAAAAAGTAAAACCACTAGTTTTAAACAAAGAACCAAACATCAACAAAATGCCTTTATTAAACCTTAAACAATCTCCAGTCATGTAACGTTTTTTGTTTCATATTGTACATATGTTTCTCTGTCTGGGTAAAGTTCTTGTACATGGTGCTGACAAAACTTCAACTCTTTTTCTGGTGGCTGAAGTTCTTATATTTTGCAGAATATTAAAATCCTGCTCATGCTCATTTCAGCAACAAATTTTAGTAGTAATAACATCACCACCCAAATTCCACTTAATCATGGGGTTCTGGTTGATGCAAAATATCAACACTTTTTCTCTCATAATGAGAGCTTCTGGTTTTTCTAGAGTACATAATGTGTAGAGTGTAATGGTGATAACATTTGCAAGAAGCAAGTAGAATTGGATTGGTAAAACTTTTTGTCCAATACAAATTGTCTCTAGCATAGCTTATTCTAAGGATATCATCAAGTGAGAGGCTTTAGGGGTGCTGGTTGCTGATCTCCACAGCACACTGTAGATATAAGCTGCCTCATGAAATCTCAGTGTAGCTATGATCAGTGACCCCTTCTTGGCAGCTTCTCACCTGTATCCATGAGCTTGGCTGATCTGCTCAAAATTGACTAATACTTTCAGCAGTACCTGATGGACAAGACCATAGTTCAGTCATCTCAATGAGTGGATAATGCATGAAGCTTTGATACACCTGATGATGTGCAGCAGAGCAATCAACATTAAAAAAAAAGACTTCTCCAAGTCATTCATAGGTCCATTGTTCTCATCCTGAAGTCACTTTGGCTCTTCTAAAATTTTTATATCCCTTGGATAATTTTCTGTTAAGAGCATAATAGAGAAAGGTAACTTAGAGGAGTGTATGATAAAGGTCAGCTACCAGTTCTGCAATAAATAGATAGTGGTAGATGGCATCAAAATTTGTTCAGTGAAGATGACTTGTGCTAATTTCAAGGTTTAACTCTGTATTCAGTTATCTGATATCCACAGAAAGTAAATCACAAGGACAGAAGTATAATGGATTGTCTCAGCTTGAAATGAATGAGACAGGGCATGATGATGAGGCTTAAAACTTAAAAAATGCACACTGTATTTTTGAAGTCAAGTTGAAGATTAGTAGTTGATTTTAATAGCGGTAGGACTATTTTAAACGAGAAGTGAAAAAAAAACTTAAATGAAACTGTAGTTTAATAAAATAAAAAGATTACAGTTCTCTGATAAGTAATAGTGCTGAAGTGAATAATTACCCAAATGATCAGCAGTAAGAGTGAAAAAATAATGATGTAAACCAAAGACAGAACATTACCAGTGAGGTCTGACTCTTTCAGGTACAAGCCTGCTCTCAAAGATTGAAATGAATATGTCTGAAAACAATATAACTGTATGTACAAAGTACTTCTTCCTATAGCTGTCCAATCAGATTCCATACCAAAATAATCTGGAAGTATCTCTGCTTCAGGTGACAGCCATAAAGCAGTTCTTTGTATAGAAGGTAAAGCAAAATACAACTATCACATGAAGCAGTAGATTAGGTCCTTGACCAGACTTACTACAGAAAGTAACATCTTGTGCTGAGTTAACCACGTGAATCCAACAAGGTTTATTATGTATCAAGTAAGAACTTGAAAAATTTTAAACAATTTGCAAGTATGAAAAATATTCTGTAAGAGAGTAAGGAATGTTGTATGTACATATAACAGTAATACATCTTCGTGTGTTAAAGATTTTGATAGTAAATGTTGCTGATCTTAAGTAGTTTCAGACTATTAATACAGTTTCTTATTTTAAAAGTGACATGCTTTTCTTCACTTTTATAACATAACCTAACATGATATGAAAGGGCAACAAGGGACCTTGTTGACCATCTAGGCTATCATATCCATTAAATTTAACTAAACACTAAAAACCTCAAAGCCAGCCCGTATCATTCATATATTTATCAAGCTTTCCCTTAAACTCCCTTAAATTAACTGCCTCCACAACATCTGAAAGCAACCTGTTTCAAAGGGCAACCACCCTATTTGAAAAATAAAACTGTTTTAACAGAAGATGACTCCTACCATGCCAAAATTTATATTTGTGTTCCCTAGTCCTACCATTCTCAACATTAAGTATGGAAAAAGATGATGCATCAACACTATCAATTCCCTAAACAGTATTAAACACCTCAATCAGATTCTCTCTAACCTCTAACCTATCCTCATATGACAACTTTTCCCTCTTAAGTATCATCCTAGTAGCCCTCCTCTGAACCATTTCCAACAATTCAGTGTCCTTTCTGAGGTAAGGAGCCCAAGACTGAACACAATATTCCAAATGTGGCCTAACCAGTGACTTATACAATGAAATTATAACCTCTTTAGACTTGTATTCAATATTTTTGTAGTTACAACCTAAAATTCTATTTGCCCTACCAATAGCAACAGTACATTTCTTGGATGGCTTAAGACACTGAAAAACCAGAACACAAAGATCTTTTTCGTCCTTAACACTGTTAAGGTTATTACCATCAAAATTAAACCTTATTCAATTATCTCAACACAAATGTATGTATTTTTATTTCTAATGTGAAATAAAGGATGATTTGGTTTTATAGTTTCATAAGAAATGTAAATTTTAAGATTTATGCATCTTTAATTATGTTAGGAGGAATTCCAGGTATGTCTTCTAATTATTTTTTATTTTACTGTTGGCTTGTGATTATATATAGAAATAGAAGAAAGATAAGAATAATGTGAAATAATGTGTTTTTTAGATTTTGCATTGTTATATGGGTTTGATGTGTGTGTGTGTGTTCAGTCATGGGCTCCTTATCTTAGGAAGGACATTGAGTTGTTGGAAAAGGCTCATAGGAGGGCTATTCTGATATCTTGGATGGCAGAACTGTCATATGAAGACAGGTTAAGATCTGTGAAATTGTTTTATCTTCAGAAAAGAAGAATTAAGGGGATCTGAGTGTGATGTTCAAGATTATCAAGGGAATTGATAGTGTTGATGCATTGTCCTTTTTCTAGTATTTAATGGTGAGAATGGTATGTTTGCCTGTGTAACTTTGAATTACTACAGAGGGAAAACATATACTTGTCTAGTTCATGCATTAAAGAATGTGCATTGTTTCTTATTTAGTTCTGTTTTGATTTTATCTTGCTTAATTTAAATGGGCCTTATTTTTTTACATACACCTTAGTGCACCCAGTGTTAGGCCAAAATATTATTATAAAGAGATAGGTTTTTATCATGTTGTAGCTTTTCATAATCAGTGTTAATCTGGCAATATGACTCATTATTTTTTTTTTTTGTTATCCTGGAAAAGAAAAATATTACCAAATGTTGTAGATAATTAAAACAATAGATACCTGTAGACCACTATCTAGATGCTCAAAACTGGTTGATAATTCATTCACCTACTTATGTATTTGCTAAAATTAAAACAAACTTTTAAATTCTGGCATTTTGGAAATATTTTCAATTTAAAGCCATACGATATCAAATTGTTACTGACTGTAATTCTGCTTAGTGGTTATATTTTGTGCATTAGTTTTAAATTATTAATTTATTTTACTAATGACACCTTTTCTTTATTTACAAGTTATCTAGGTAATCATTTCTTTAACATGATTTTGTAATAGCAGCAACCCTTTTTTCAAGTGGATTAAGCTTATGGAAGAGCAGAGAAGATGAAATTGTTTATCCCTATGATATTTTGAGTCCATATGGATCATTAAAATTTCATAATTTCATATCTAAAGACTTTTTTGTTTCTTACATTGTCCATGAGAAAATTTTGTTTCAGTAGAATCATTCCAACTTACAAGTATTACTTTAACAACTGTTTATTGAAAGATTAGAAGGAAAATTATACCTACAGAAAATTTTACTATTTGTTAGAAGCATCTAATAACTGTTAAGTACAGATATAAGTACATGTGAGATTTTGCAAAAGCAAATTTCATGGATTTGGAACTGACAAAAAAAAAAAAGACTCATTTACAGCCTTTGTCCAGCACTGTTGTTAATGCATGAAATTTAGAAAGAAGCTAAACACAAGTTTGTATTATTTAATCAATATCATATTATTAGTAGAAGATAATGATGGTTGTAATTTTCTAAAGTATGGCTTAAATTTTAGAAACTTAATAAATTAGGTATAAAAAAGGTTACTAAACTTAAGGGACTACTAAAGAAGAAACCTTGAATTTTCAAAAATTAATTTATCTCACATAATAAGAGCCATACTTTATCAAGTGCAGTTGTTATGTTGAACATGGATTTGTTTTCAGATGGATAATATGTTTTTAAGAACAATGTGTACTGTCATATCATGATTGCATTTATGTTTTTTTTCTGATTTTCTGATTGTTTCAGAAGAAAGAGTTACAACTCCATCAACTACTACATTTATCAGCAGAGAAAGCACAGAATCAGTATGTCAGATTGTAAAACATGATGAATATCTAATGATTTTTTATAATTTGACTCAACTGAAAACTGGAGACAAAGTTGAAAATGGAGGTAAAATTAGATTTCATTGCCATCTTGTTGGGATTAAGAGGCTGATAGGAGTAAAAGAAACACATTGCATTAAAGGAGACTGGAGTGAAGACTTTCCTTACTGTTCTGATCCTAATGGTGGGTTTACTTTAGAACATTAGTAAATTTAGATTAGAACTTTCCATAATTTTTTTTTCAGGTTTGTTTGATTTAGAGATTATTGTATTGAGATCACTCAAAATCTTTAATTATAATCTACACTGTATTAACAAATGTACAAGAAAAGCATAATATCTTCTTTGTCAATGTGCTTACATTATGAAAAAGAGTGAGTAAACATGGCCATACTACTCATATTTGATACATATCTTGGAAAGCTGCTTCAGAAATAGTGAAACTTTTGTATCTACCCTGTTTATCCTCCAGGCAACCTTCCAAGATGTCTCAGGGTAATTCTGTTGTTAAGGGAATTTTTTAGGTGATACCAGTTGGAACTTTGCAGAGATCAAAGTTCAAACATGTTTTAAACTTTTAATAGCAAATTACATTAAATAAATCTTACAAAGTTGCAAAATATCAGCTCTTGGGCATATTTGAATAAAAAATAGTATAAATAGTTACAATTACTATTTTTACTTAAATTTTCTTTTATGCAAGTATGCCCTTGGTGACCTCTATACTCCAGAGAGTTGCCCACCAACCCAAAGAGGGTTAAATACTGTTTGATATTCTCAAGTAAACAGGTTTCCATGCAATATTCAGATAGATACACTTTATAACACGAGGAACGAACAAGAAAATTGTGAAGTAAACCTGAATTTAGCTAATCAAGTGAGTTTTAAGCTAAGAAATATACAGACCAAACGTGATGTAAAATTAAACAAACACAAACTTTATTTATAATGCAAAGCAAAGAAGCACAGTATGCATACTTGCATAGACACTGAACATTCACCTTCCTACTGGATCAGTTAACAGTTATTATCTCACAAGATATCTTTCCTTTGATCGACTTGCATCTCAAACCAATTGTATGTAGATCTCTTCTGACTGAAACTGATACTCATTACTAAACATGTAACCTGAGTTTTACACAGAACTGATACACCTTACCACACAAATAGTCGTTCTTTTACAACAAACAAAGACTTTAACTTCCAGATACCATCCACTTGGCCAGCAAAGGACATAACAGTCAATGACTTATTTTCAGCAACATCCTCATTGGCAAAGTAAATACTATTTGCTAGAGAACAACAAAAACAACTATAATGAAACTATTTCAATAGTTTGCCAAACCATGTATTTATTGCCAAAACTGCATAGAAAGAGATTAAGCAAATTTTTTTTTAATTCCCATATCAATAAAAACAGGTATACTTACATATTACAACTGCATAAATTGATAAAAGAACTAAGTTATAATTTCACATTTATTAATAAAGCAACTTCAGTAAAGAAATTACCACAATTATATTTTTTGTGAATTTGGATTAAATAAAGTCAGATGTAATTCAGTTTGCAAATGTAACTGTACACTGTATATATGATATATCCTGCTTTTTACTTCTATTATGTTCAGGTACAGATCCTATTAAAACATGAATTTTCATACAGTGAGTTGATTATTCAGTACTGGAAATTATAATAGAATATTGAATACAAGAATTCCTATAAAGTGAGTAACAACTTATCTAATTAGTAATTACAAAGGATGATGATTTCTTTGAGCTACACACTGCTATTAAAACTCAAAATAATCACATTGGTACAAATGGAAATAATTTTGAACATTTACAACGTAGGCCAAAGATTTATAAATTTTAATGATGCAAAATCCATCTGATTATTTTAAGAAACAGAATCGTTTTTCATGAATATAAATAAACTACAAGACTGCTTACGTCTTTATTTTATAGATTTATAAATTGTCAAAAATATCATTCTATCAGATTTGACTGAATAATAAGTTGGCAATGGTTTATAAGCATAATAAAGTGATTTATTTTGGGGGGAACATACAACATGTTTCAACAGAACATTAGTCTGTCTTTTTCAGGAAGAACAAAATTAAGCTTATAACACAAAAGATTAAAAATAATTTCATTAAAAAGAGTGGTTAAAACATGCTATATGTTTCTACACAACTAATGTCTTTCTTTTTGCACCATCAAGCTAACTTCCTTACTCTGTTTAAGTGATCTAATTACATTTGAAAATAAGTTGTTTTAAAAATGCTATTTAGCTCTCTGCACCACTAAAAGGTATAACCTCATGCACAACTGCCATACAAGTTCCTGTACATGCCACAAGCCTTGAACAAACTCCCACTCCTACACATGTCTAAATGTATTACACCAGCCTAGGACATAAGCTTCATAATGCTGTAGTCCTCTACTAATAGTAGGGCGACATGTTATATTGAAACAGGTTAGCACTCAGGTGAGCTTAATTGTTGGAGTTTCAATTAAAACCAACCTGTTTACCTAATTTATTTATTGGAGGATTTGTCGTGACGAGTGGAGCCACAAGTCGCTAACTCCAGGAGTTTACAGTTAGAGTAAAGAATATGAGTCTCAGGCCAGTAATTCTACTTATAATATCTTTTATTACTTTTTTATTACACTGGACATAATACTTGATAGTTAAACTCTTCAATCGTTACTTTAACCATTAACATTTATAACACTTCTAATAGAAAACACATATTATACAAAAGCTGATTTAGAGAGAGAGATACTTACTGGAGAGTTGGAACCTTCTTTGTTGCAGAGTTTAAGTTATTAAGCTGCATAATGCTGGCTGGAGATCTCTGGAGGTACTGGATCTCGCTGAAGAACTGACTTTCTAGCTCCAGACATGGGTTTATATAGCAGGATTTCTCTGTATCCTGGCGAGCATCCAAATAGTACACAGCATCACCCTCAAGTAGTGCGATGCTCCTATTGGCTGCTTGTAAGCAAGCCCTGGGCTTATCAGGCACCACACCCAAAAACCCTCAGGCTATTGGTCATGGGCAACTGCTGTTAGCCGGCTGCCTACTTGCCT